TGGACAGTTAGCTATAGATAACCTTCTCAGCATTATTATAGGGTCTTTACCTTATAATATAAAGCACGTTGAGACCACAGTTTAGATTTGGCACTGTATAAATAAAAGTGAAATTCACATTCTTTTGAAATTTTCACTTTCATTGTAAATGTATAGTTTGACCACTCAGACTTTTTGAGGCAGGACTGAGCAAACAGAAGCAACCTCATGGTGTCTTCCCAAAAACGGGACATTAGAGGACTACAAAAAAGAAGCAGTCTATTCTGACATGTGAATTCCATACATTTAAGATTTTCCTGCTTGATATTCAGTTTTCGTTGTTTCTGTTAACACCGACAATTTGAAATAAAATAAACAGGCGTGTTCTGTCAGATTGTTGCACCAAATAGAAATTACTTCTTCTTTTTAAAGAAATTACTGTTAAGTTACTCTGTAAGTTACACTCTGTGATAAATTCAACATGATGTCACAAAATTTGCAGATGTATTAACAACAGTTTTCGTAACGTACTCTGAACCGCGTACTTTTAAAAACGTATTTTAACAGTAAAATAAAAATTGAAAACTCTTTTGTGATAAATTTCATTAAAGGTCAAAACACACCGATGGCACTAAGAAGGCTTCACAGACAGGCAGAGACGGGCTTTGCTGCTTATCTCTTCGATCATTAAGAGGCGATGATATTCAAACGAAGCGCGCCAGCTGAATTATGAGGAGCTAAAAGGAGAAAAGCAAAAATCCCTCATTTGAACATTTGAACTTTGTCATAAAGTTTGGGGGGAAAAAGAAAATGATTGTTTTTGTAACAGAGTTCTGTAAATACTTTCTGTCTCTGATTCCTGGAATAGCGTTTACATGTGTTTGAATCACAGCCAGCATCGAGCGGATATTTGTGTTTGGAAGTCGTTGGCCTTCTGTTTGAACGATCAGCTATGTGTGATTGATTTGATGCTCTGCCTCTCTGACCTGTCTGTAAATGCTGGCCTTAAAGTTACTGCAGCGATTTATCAGAGCTGTGCAGTGCGCAGGCGGTTAACGCAGCAATTTACTGCATTTTAAAATGATGCAATTCTCAAATTATTATTAAAACTACAGTTAAGACATCTATATAATATATTTAAAGTGTTTATTTATTCATTCATCGTCAGACGGTTCCTGCAGTTTGGCATAAATTCTGCATGGTTTATTCCCTACAGTCATGTTTAGGGGTCACATGATGATGATGAAGCTTTGACTGAACAATCACAAGAAACCATTTAGGAAAGAAATGAAACAGATATAAATCCTGAATAATCTAAACCGCATAGTTTAAAAAAATTGTAATCTTTAGGTGTTGAGAGTGCTGTTTGTATAGTTGCTCATTAACACCAGGTCTTTTTAAAACCTGGTCAAAATTAAATTTTTCCACATCTATCTATCTAAATTTATATGACTGCACATACACCTGCTGTTGCATTTGGAGTGTCTCTTTCTTAGTGCAAAAAGAGTAAAAGAGCATTAAACTGAATCACAAACATGATCCAGCTGCAGACAGTATCAGCTGACAAACTGACTTCAGCGTAACAGCACGGGGAGGATCGTTCTCCACACACGTGTAAACATGAATGACCAAAACTCTTCTTACCATCTAGCATTAGTTTCTTCATCTGCGCCGCAGTCTGGTTATGGTGCACTTTGACCTTGTAGCCCAGCTTACTGAAGGTGTTCTCAACATTGGCAGCATCAACATCTGTGCCATCACGAGTGCTCATCCCTGTAGAGACACACCAGCGAAAAGGCAGCGCGCTGTAAACATCAGCGTCTTCAGTATAGTTTCAAAGAGGACGTGTATCCTGACTTCACCCTGACTGTGACACTTTGGACTGATAACACTGAGCCTGATCTTTGTAGCAATGACACAAACTCCAGTTTCTTTTTGTCTTTTTAATCAAGTGTTTCTGTAAACTGTCACAGCACGATTCCTCTCCGCTGTAACTCCATAAAAAACAGCAGTAGTCAATCACAGGAAGGCCCAGGCAGAGGCCAAATCTATTTGTGTGTGCAATAAGAGTCAGTGTGGCCTGAGCGGCAGGATGGACCCACTGTTACCTATTGTTGGGTGGAAGTTCTTGTTGTTGATAACCAAACAGGTGCCGATGCATGGGTAGTCCATCTTGTAGCGGTAAGAGTCAGAGGCTTCTGGTCTTCTGCTGTTCGTTTCCTTGGTCTTACCCTTTCCTGCATTTGCTTGTTTCCTGAAAGTGTACACACAACCGATGTGATTACCTTTCACTGAAGAACTTAAGAACTTGTTTAGCGGGTATCATTCTTTGAAGAACATTTTAACAACTGTGCAGATACATATTGCAGATAAACGTCTTTGTTTAGGTCAGGTGTTACTACAATGCCAAAATTGTTTCCAGGAGTCAGGCAATGCTCAGAGAAATTAGAAAAACAACACTTAGTAAGTTAAATGATGAAATGAAAGGTTAATGACAGGAAAATTAGAAAAAGTGCAGCTTGTTTGGAAGAAGAAAGCCTCTTCTCTCTAAAAAGAACACGGTAGCAGGGTTTCACATATCTGGAGAAAACCAAAAAGAGCACCTCATGCTGACTGAGGGGGATGATTAGGGCTTGGTTTGCAGATACAGGACCTGGGCACCAAGCAGACAGGCGTTGAGTCAATCATGAACTCCTCTGCATAGCAAATTATTCTAAAAATGAACTGTGAGGCCATCTGTAGTAAAGAAGAGCGAGCCAAAATTGTGATGAACTGATAAGGACATCACTCTAGAGGAATATTTGCTTATACAGGAAACAATTAATTCAAGCTTGTGTGGCTAAACGTGGTTCTGCAAGCTGCTGAATCATTGGGTGTGCATGTTTTTCACAGACTGTACAGCATCCTGCACAAACTTCCTGTTTCATATGACTGTACGGGGAGTCAGACAGTGAGCAGTAATGCACAATAGTTACCACAATTTGAAGAGGCTGGCATCCACCACGTCCCCCTCTCTCTGCGTGTCACCATCAGCCATGTTCCTGTGCACAGAACAGAGAAAGAAGTCACCACAGAAAGAGGACAAAACACCCTGTGACTCTAACAGAGCATGCCAAACTGTGCAAGGTCAAACTAGGAAGTTGCTCACATGAATATTAATTGTTTGGGTCAATGCAGTTTATATTGTTGGGTGCATGGAGACACCCAGCCTGACATAAAGCAGATTCTGATGTATCCACACAAAAAAGCGGAAGCTAAACCAAACTTAAGATGTAGCTCATAGCGAAACAAAAACCATATACACCCATTTTTATGAGTACAAAGGACAAAATGAATCTCTCTATTTAATTACAAACAAAATCTAAAGCTGAATGTTAAACTCTCATTTTGTTCCCGGACAATATCAGGATATGAGTTTGATAAATTATCCCAACACTGGGATGAGGTGCGTAAAATGTAACTGCAGACAAAAACTACAAACCTAACATACGACAACTGTGCATTAATTTGTTACTACAGCTAATGTTACACAGTAATAAAGACGAGTGAACAAAGTCCTAAAATTGATATCCCCACGCTGTTTTTTTAAACAGTTTCATTTTAGTTACAGCTCCGTCAGAAAAACATATAAGTGAAACAAAACGGCTCACAGGAGTAAAAACCAATAAAGTAGAACATACCTAAATAAACGTACCCTGTAACGAGACAGTAGAAAACAGCAGAATGCGCTTTTATGACATCTGTGACATAAATAACGTCAAACAGGAAATCTCTCACTTAAAACCTGTGAGCCAGTCTGGACGCCGTCCCAGTGTGGGCGGGAGAAGAAACGTCACTTTTTAAAAATCCAACTTTATTGAGAACAACAAGACATTGTCAATCTTTATATCTTATTAGGGGAATTTCATTTACATAAATGTAAATTTCAAAACTCAACCCCATCATTTAATTTGTTTTGATTGAAATTGAATATCACTCAAACTCTCTTACTTCAAATAAAAAAGGTTTATCATTGATTGAAATTCATTCAGAAATTTTTAACAAACGAGCTGTCACAGTTACAACTTTCAAGTACAAAGTTGTTATGAAGTCTGTCACATCCCTCTTTCTTTTTCCTTTCCTTTATTTATTTACCCTTCTTATTTCATTGTACTGTTTATTGTTACTCTTATTTGCCCTGGATATCTACTGTACAAACTGAACTGGAATGACTGACTGTTCAGTTTATAATTTCAATAAAGTTCGAAAAAGAAAATGAGAACAACGAGACGAAACATCAGGCTGGCAAGAACACAGGAGTAGAGAAGATGCAAGTTAGTATACTATAGAGACAAAGCACCTGGGGTCTCTACTCGTTCAGACACATTATAGGAGTATATTCAAATGTTTAAAAAGGCGACACGTTGTTAGTAATTGAATGAAATTTGGCTTACTACAGGAGAACTTTGATTTATGAATATAGAATTTGGACAGTATAAGAAGCAGGTTCGTAACATAAACGTGACAACTGAGTTTAGTGTCAATATCCGTGTAACCAAACTATTCCAACATAAGGAGAAGCGAGGCTAAAATAACTTCCTTTACTTTGTTGGTCAAAAAGAATTCTTGTGGTCAAAACTAGACTTTGTGCCAGCAGATATTTTCCACAGAGCCGGACCAGTTTGGTCGAAAAGTGGGTAGAAATGTGCAATCTCGAAGATACAGGTTCCTTTGTCCCGTTCTGCTTTTTAGAGGTTGGAAGAAAACAAGACTTGCAAATTTCAGTTCCAGAGACCCGAAGACGCAGAATGGGTTCCGTTTCCTGTTCAGAGGCGCGAAGTAACAACGTTACTAAAGTTCTGTGCATAAAGAAAGGACCGAGCCATCTGTTTTTGAAAATATGATCAGTTTAGGGGAATTTTGTTAATTTTGAAATTGCAGAACAAAAGAAAATCAAAGCCAGTGAAAAAATAAAGATTCCATCAGCAGGTTGGCATCTTTAAAGAAATTCTTCATCCAATCAATTGTGAAAGTGTCTTTTATTTTGGCAAATTCAAGAACATTCTTTTTTTTTTTTCATAAAATGAGTTCAGTTATTTGTGAGGCTTGAACTTCTTTACTTGTGCCTTAAACATATTGATAATTTATCCTATGTAATTTTCCATAATGCTTTAGTTTAGACATTGCTGGTGCAACTTTGCTCTACATACAATCTCAGGTGTGTTTGTGGTAGCATTGTGTTACAGGTTATATCCACACATATGCTTTTAAAGCAAATACTACTGAACCATCAGCTGATCTGAATTTTCTTCAAACGTTTCAAACCAGCTGTGTCAATGATTTGGTCAGTTGGATCAATGATCTTATTCCTGTGTGTAAAATTCAGAATAAAACAAGTGAGATTTTGACAGGTGATATTAAAGTTTCCTCTGTGAGAGATACTGCATGTAAACAGTTGAGTCAGGTTGAGGTCTGGACTTTGGGCCATTGCAACAGAATGAAGTGTCAAACCTACAGCATGATCACATGACAAAAGATGGAAGCTGTCGCATCAGTATAAGGTTTTTTTTATTGTAATACATTTTTAACTATGGAACTAATAGTGTTTTGTGTTTCCCAAACAAGACCGAACACTAAAATCATCCAACACTGATGTGTTTTTACCTCAGTGCAAAGTGCATTTCGGTATAGTGACAATAAATCATTGTTATCCTGCTCAACACACCACAACAGACTGTATACATTCAAGGTGGCCAGAGGGTAGATATTAGGTTCAACCATGTAAATCTAGACGGGGAAGTAAAAGTCTTTGGTCAACATAGAGACGATACAAGGGATCTGCTTCTTGTTGCTAAATCCAGGCAGGTTGCAGGACGACTCAAACTGGCGTGAAACACCGTAGCTGACTCGCGTCATGATCTGCATCAGATCCAGCTTCCCACTGTAGCGCTCCAACATCTCACACAACTTCTGTATGAACCAGGAGCCGTTGCTTGTGTTTCTCCATGAGTAGTATCCTGCAGGACGGGTGACAGTGTTAGCGCTCTTAGAAAACAGGTTTGGACACCACATGTGACACATCAGCTGCGTTGTAGACCAAAACAAAAGGAAACAGAAAGAGGGAAGCATAGACAGAAAATGAACAGGACAATGTGTCGATGCTTGTTCTTCACACCCCAACCCATTGGTTTATGAGAATGACCCAGAAGGTGGGTCCTGAGGTTGGGACATCACTCTAAAATGTCCCGTCTATTAAGAGAAACAGCTTGTACCTGGAGCGGTGGAATAGGCGTATAAGAAGTCGGCCTCCACAGGAATCTTCTCAGACGCCTGCTCGTCTCCTACACTGTCTGTCTCAATGACTCCCTCATCCAGGGCTGAACCACGGCATGCCTGAAAAGGACGGAGAAACTCAAAATCGATCTCATATTTGGCACACATCTTGAAACACCTTAGGGAACTTGGGCGGGCAGTTATTCGAAGCATTATCTAAATGAACTTGAATTTCAGCAGCACCAGGACATATAAACTACAGTTATCAGTCAAATTGGATATTAAGAAAAAGGGTTAAAGGTATATTTTGTAAATTCCAATCTTTAAAAGTAGTTTAAAACCTCCCCACATTAACTAAAGCTCTCAAACAATGTGAAGAAACATCTGGACTTTATATCCAAAACATCTGTGTTGGGCAAGTTGTCCTCAAAGCTCCTGGAGGAAATCAAAGTGGCTAAAAAGTGGGTGTGTTAGCTCTGACTCCTCAGTTAAATATAAAGAAATTCAATGGTTACATTTTTTTTCATGTACATTTAAAGTGAAAGCAGTGTTTTGTTTTTAAAAGTTACAAAACAGATGACAATTAAAGCAACACTTTGAACTTAATAAACTACAAATGAAGACGTTACTATATAAAGACTGAAACACAGGAATGTGAAGACACATCGCAGAAGTGTACCACACTGCCATAATGAACTCACCTGTATGAAGAAGAGCTTTGGTTTCCCCACCAGACCCTTGCAGTGCTTTCCTTTGAAGCACTGTACCAGCGTATCAAACTTTTCACAGCCGTCAATGCCGTATATGACACCCTCATCCCCATGACTAAGCATCACACACACAAATGATGCATTGTTCTTGTGGTCCTCTTTGGATGCTGGAAACACAGCAGAACAGATGGGAAACACCAAGGAATTATTAGTCCAGCTGTTTTTAAACAACCCCCTGATGCCAACTCACAAGCCAGTGCTTTTATTTTGGCGGAGCTACTCTAATAGAATGAACAAAAATAATTTTTTCTGGACATTTTATGTTCCTTCACATCCTTTTTCACTCTTCTTTCTCAATGGGCTAAGGCTACACTCCTAAAACGATTGGGATGATTGGTTAAAACCAAACCAGACAGTGCCTGTTATGTAAGTGTAACTGGTGTAGCTCTATAACATCCGCCAACTGCTAACAAAAAGCTATAGCAACATTAGAACAACTGCCGTCTGGTGGTTACCACAACCACAGCATTTCACTACAATCAGCTCACACATTGACTGTAAAAGGATGGAGAGGTTTTTGTGAATACAGAGGTAAGCTTTAACATCTTCTTACCGTCTAACAACAGCCTTTTCATCTCAGCCACAGTCTGGTCATTTAATGTTTTGACCTTGTAACCCAGGTTTTTGAAGGTCTTTGCAACACTGGCAGCATCAACATCTGTCCCATTACGAGTGCCCATCCCTACAGAGATACACAAGCAGAAAGGCAGCACACTATAAAGTCAGCACCGTCTGGAAATCCTGGAAATAAAATCCAAACAGAATGCAATGATTTAAAATCTCATAAACTGATATTTTATTCACAACAAAACTTAAAAAAAAAAAACATCAAATCAAGCTAATACATTTAACTATTTCATGATAAATATACAGCTCATTCTAACCCAGATTATCTGTGTTTAATATTAAAGTTTGTTAAATTTAAAACATGTAAATGTGACAACTATTAAAAAAAAAAAAAGAACTGGAGAAAGAGGCAAATACTTTTTCACAGCACTGTAGGGTTACCTTAGGTTAACTGGCCACATGTCAATAACGTGGTTGGGTATCATATCACGATTGGACGCCCAGAATCTTTGGTCCCTTGGGTGGCAGTACGTTACCAACAGGCATGATTTTATTATTGCTCAGAAACACTCACAGACATCATCGTCTGTGGATACAGTTTATATCCATAATTGCAGGTCAGAGCTGAACCACGCAAAGAAGAAGCCATGTGTGAACATGATACAGCGAGGCTGCGGTCTTCTCTCGGCCAAAGTTGATTAAGACGGAGTGAGAAGGTGGAAAACTGTTCTGTGAACGAATTTGAAATTCAGTTTGGAAAACATGGATCCTCCAAACTAAAGAGTAGAGGGACCATCCAGTTTGTTATCAGTCCAAAAGTATGGTGGTGCATTAGTGCCTATGGAACTAACAGCCTTCACATCTGGCAGGGGACCATCACCATCGTCTTTTAAACTGCATTCTTTATGTGGCTTCGTACTAGAAGAGTACGGGTGCTAAACTGGCCTACCTGCCTCCAGATATTTCACCACCTGCAAACAGCTGGAACATCACGAAACAGGAACATGACAAATAAGAGCCAGGAGTGCTGTGCAGGTAGAGTCCTGATATTAAACAAGAACGGGAGAACGGGACAGCGCTCGTTTCCTCTGCTCTGTGGTCAATGAAGTGTTGGTACATTGACCAACACTTGGTCATTGGTTCATACAGTTCATTCATAGGGTCGATCGTGGCTCAAGAGTTAGGAGTTTGCCTTGTAATCGGAAGGTTGCCGGTTCGAACCCCGGCTTGGACAGTCTCGTTTGTTGTGTCCTTGGGCAAGACACTTCACCTGTTGCCTACTGGTGGTGGTCAGAGCCCCGCCTCTGTCAGTGCGCCCCAGGGCAGCTGTGGCTACAATGTAGCTGCCATCACCAGTGTGTGACTGGTTGTGTAAAGCGCTTTGGGGTCCTTAGGGACTAGTAAAGCGCTATACAAATACAGGCCATTTACCATTTGGTTTGTGAGATCTGTCGCTGCATTCTGTTTTACATTTTAGTTCCAAGTTTGTTTTGGAACTGGGATTGTAACTGTCACAGCAGGATTCCTTTGTACTGCAACTGCACAAAAAGCAAAGCAGTGGAAAGTACTTCATTTGACTTTTTGTACATTTGGAAAATGTGGGAAAATCCCATCTCCCTTTTCACTGCAGACACTGGGATTTGTCACAGCAGCAGCTGTAAAATGATCCTACAGATGCTACTACTGTTACACCACAACATGTGTACATTTACAACTGGGTGAAGTGAGAGGGAAACATCTGCACCATAGAGGTGTTATGTCTTACAAATACAACACTATTATTGAGCATAGTGTAAAAAGAAAACAAGCACTCCCCGACATTCTATAAATCTGGATAAGGATATAACATGCAAACACTCCTGTGACAGGAAGTCCAAGAAGGAAGAGTTTGGGTCTTAGGAGGTTAATCAACCACCATTCAATCTCCAAACACGTGCTGGGTAATAACATTTAAAGGATCTTGTGTTGGTCTTCACTGTATTTACATTTTATTCAAGATCATATCCATGTGAGGTACTTGTTTTCTTTTCCTACTGTGATAAGTAAAAAACTAAAAAGACTGTATCAGGTTGTTTTTATGCCACAGTGTGAAGTGAAGTGTGAGGCACAATGTAGTGCAGCTGATGACATTTGGAAAATTAGTGAAGTTTGGAACGAGCACTGTGACGAGGCAGTTTTAGACGGAGACAATGATCATGAAATGCAAAGTGCCTCAGTCCATCTGAATGACTGTCTGGACCCACTGTTACCACTGTTGTATCTAGCATTTTATTTTATTCTATTCTATTCTATTGTGTACAGTATCTCATAGATATATCAATCCAGTGTTTTTTCTCTAATTTTCTATGCAACTTTGCACTGTCCACTGCTGTAACAAAACAAATGTCCCACACGTGGAACTAATAAAGGTTATCCTATCTTATCTTACCTGTTTTTGAGTGGAAGTTCTTGTTGTTGATAATCACACAGGTGCCAATGCAGGGGTAGTCCATCTTGTAGCGGTAAGCGGCTTCTGGTTTGCTGCTGTTCCAGTCCTTTTCCTCAGTAGTCTTGCAACTTCCTGCTGCCTCTGCATTTTCCCTGATGGAGCGCACACACACACACACACACACACACTCTGACTCATGACTGCCCTGTACTTAAAACATGAAGAACTTGTTTAACACCGTCACACATAAAAGAAGTTGTTAACAAGACTGTAGCTACTGAAGCTAAACTTGTTTGTTTACCCACGACTTCAATGAAAATGTACAAGAATATCACACAGATTGGTTTTGAAATGTCATTGTACCAGATAGAACTTCAGAGCATTGGTGCAACTAAGCATTTTCACATGTACCATTTTCTTTTAAGCAGGTCTTTCACGCTCAGCTTCTTTACTAATTAAACCCGCTGGTTTAAAACCACACTGTGGCGAACTGAAGAATAAACTGCTGGCCGTCAAAGTGAAGACGACAGTAACATAAGCCACTTATGTTAAAATACGAAGGAAAACAACCTGAGCCAAGGTCAAATCAGCCAGGAGGTGCACAAGTCTCCACATTTTCAGCTAACAGAGCTGCTACAGTAGTTAAGCTTTCTCAACACGTGGGCACTCAGACAGTGAGCAACAACGCACAATAGTTACCCATTTCCACAAACTGCAGCATCTACAGTGTCCCCACTTCTCTGCATGTCACCATCAGCCATGTTCCTGCACACAGAAGAGACAAAAGGTGGCATAGAAATCACCACAGGAAGATAAAGAAACCAAACACCCCGTGGATCCTCTCCAATGGTGGACCACACCCCTACTAACACTTACGGTTGGTTTAAAAACACATGCATTTTCGTTTAGGCTGATTAGCTTCCTCATCTTCAAGATTTAAGATCAGTGATGTAGATCATGCTATAGCATTTCTTCGATAGAAAAAGGAGAACAATTACTTTACAAGGAAGTACATGCCATTCTCAGTGTTTTCAAGAAAGAGCTACACTTTCTGGAGAAGTGTATTTTTGGAGTTTGGTTGGGTTGTGCAAGTTGCAAAACTTTGAAAAGCATGACTAAAACGTTTGGAGTTGATTGATGTGCAATTCTTGAATAATAATAATAATAATAATAATGTATACTTTATTGATCCCCGTGGGGAAATTCCTCTCTGCATTTAACACATTCACTCAGTGAAGCACACACCAACAAACTGGAATGGGATTCTTCTTTTTTTGCAGTCCCAACCTGTAAGGTCATGTAGCTTGACAGAGTATGCCAGATTATACAATCTCAAAGTGGAAAGAAAAACCCCACAAGAAGCACAATAGTTACCCTGGAAGCTGTTCGGTAACAGGGATAAGATAAACCTTTATTTGTCCCAAACGTGGGAAATTTGGGGGTCATGGCAGAAGGCACAAGAGCAGTAAAAATAAGAAAAACATTAGACCAGTAGTTTGGTGGTTTGTGGGTTTGGTGCCTCCATAAACTCAACCTTGTGTTTACCAACATAGAATCTACTTTATGGATTAACTAATATGTCAATATATAAGTTAAAGCAGTTTAAAAGCATACTCAGGAAGAGCCACTCCTGTTAAACCACACCAAACTGTAGCTCATAGTGAAACCACTGACACAACAGGAAGTGTTTTATAAGGATCATGAGAAAAGTTACCTCACAGTGTGAAAGAGAAAATAACCTTCAACATGAAAACAGTGAGTCAGTATTTTTCTGTTTGATTTTTTAAAATTAAATTCTGAAACATCCAGATGTTAGTTTGATAAATATAGAATAGGTGTATGAGAACACTGCAGTACATAATGTACGCGTTGTAAAATATAAAGGTCTGTCAAAATGAAAACTACTAACATAAGCCAGCCGTATATTACGATGCTTATTTTTCCTACATTGTGTGTACTAGTACATGGCACTGGTACATATAATGCTCATCACGTAGCCTTGCTGACACCAAGCAACAGGCTTAAGTGACCAGTTGCTTGGTGTCAGCAAGGCTACGTGATGAGGTCATATTTTCCGATGCAGATAAGAGCCTTTGGGGCAACTAAGACAGTTTTCCTCTTTTAAATGGAGGGATATTACACTTGTACGGAATGGTGTAAAAGGCACAGCAGTTAGTTTCAAAAACAGCAATAGTATTTTATGTCCTTTGTTCATCTCTAAAAATATCATTTCATTTTCCTGTAATTGCTGGTGCTGTGCTGAACAGTAGACCGTCGTAAATGACTCGTGGCCGATAATCTGTCAAAAACACATCTCTCGTGAAAGACATTTTCTGTCAAGTAGATGTTGAGATGAAGTTTTGGAAAAATCACTTGTACAGACATTTACCCAGGTAAAAAAAAGATTGCCACCAAAAATGTCTTTTTCAACAGAGATTTGTCCCAGAGAGCTGCAAACAAACATAACATCACAGTTTTATTAAGACATTTAAATGGCCAAAAAGGGCTGATGGAACTGACTATAATGCAGGTGCAGTAAGGCTGTATAGACATAGGAAATACAGATAAACAGGTCCTGTCTTTATTTTAGATATAACGCCTCCATAAATGTATGGTCAGTCTATTTACCAATATAAGCACACTGAAACATCAAAAATCAGTTTCTAGCACAACACTGGCATCAGGAGGAATACCAATAACAAATAAATGCCCTCAATGAAATTCTTTTATATTTTAAGTCTCCCATTTAGTGAGCTGGGCTACCTCTGGACCCTATAGACCCATGTTCAACAACTCAGGTTTAGAGGATCTCAGCCTGTCATAAATACTGGTCACGTGATCTATCCAAAGCGAAAAAACCCACAAAACCCACAATGCTTCCTGTAAGTTGTTCATTTGACTATTATTAGTTAGGTTTACTTTTGGGGTTAGGACCACAGCCTGCTGTTTCCACACATCCATGTGTTTGAATGTTAACATATTCAAAGCAGACTGATAGTAAGGAACAACCATTACTGTTTAACTATACCAAGCTAGAGCTAATAACGAAACTGCAATGATAACAAAAAAGTATTTACAACCCTTCTATCAGCACGTTCTTGTTTTGACGTTAAGCCAATTGAAATGCTTCCACGCACCATACCTGGATGTTAGCTTAATAATTACTCCGTACATGAGTGAGAGATCTGTGGGAATATTCCATATGAATGATATAAATGCCGTAAAAGTGAGTCCAACTGCAGACTAGTAGCACAAACTACAAAAACCTAACATACGACAACTGTACATTAAAGTGCTACTACAGCTAATGTTACACAGTAATAAAGGCGAGTGAACAATGACATAAAATCAATAGTCCCGAGCTGGTTTGTTAAACAATTTCAGTTTAGTTTACAGCTACGCCAGAAAACGCGTTAGTGAAGCAAATAGTTGATAAAACACGTAAATATCAGCATGAACACGGCAAACCCACGCAGCGAGTAACTCTTAAGAGTAAATACGAACGGAGTGGAAAACACCAAAATAAACCTACCTCTTAATGAGACAGTGGAAACCAGTAGAATGTGAATTTTATGAAGTATGTTACATAAATGAAGCCAACCAGGAAATCTCTGTTAAAAGTTTACGCCTGAAACTTTAAGCCAATGGGAACGCCGATTCTGTGTGGGCGGGATGACGCTACTAAAAGACAAACGCTGATTGGTTTAGACAATTATTGTTTAGTTACCAACAATCCCTTCTCTTTTCTCCACATGCAGGTGAAATGCTGTGACAAATAATTATCAGAAGCTCCGCGGAAATCCCCGTAGCAGTTCAGACTGCTTCAGGAATTTCTTTCCTTTTGTTAAATAAAGAAAGTAACAGAACTACACATGCACACAAACTCTGGTTCCATTATTTGAATTTATTAAATACAATATGAATGTATTCATATTATTAATCTATAAAACATGTCACAATCATCTAGTAATCATCCACAGTTTACATTTATGATCTAAATGAACAGGACAGTGTTATATACAAAGCCTTATCTACACCATACATTACAATCCAAACCGTCAAGCTGCTTCCAGCCTCTCATCTCATATTGTGTAGTCTCTGGGAGCTTTAAACGTTCTGCATTTGTGTCATTTCCCAGACTCATTTTAAGTCTCTTTTCTCTCTGCTGTTTTAATGTGCTTCGTCTCCAAGAGCAGAGCTGGTAAGCTGGAGGCCCCATACTGGAAAAAGGAACCATAATTCAGCTCATCATTGAAATACACAATACAGTATTTGGGTATTTAATGTTGTTGTGCATCTCTACCGTCTCTTTCTCCTTGGGGTGTTTTTGTCTGTAGTCCAGGTACTGCCGGTTGAGCTCTCTGATGTCATGGAGGAAGGCCTGGCTTTGTCTCAGGTCGGCTAACCGCTGCTGAAGTTCAGCTTTCTCCTTCTCCAGCAACCATGCCTGCCTCTCTGCTCTGTTAGAACAATCACACGAGGTCAGCAGTCAGTGAAAGGAAAAGAATGTAAACTTTTACATTCTCCAAGACCTAGTTCTTTCACATAAATGACTCTATAAAGACTTAAAAGTTATAACAGGCTGTTTGTAAATCATGTGTCTGAGCTGCTGCTCACCTCATCATCTCATGCTTGGCATCAAACAGTCTCTGCGTGTTTTTACGGATCAAAGAGCCCACCTAACACAGAACAATGGAAACAAGCACTTTACCCAGCCTACAGAAATACAAGCTGCTCTGTTACCCTTCAGTGCAAAGTATGGACGCTGACTTTGAGCTAAACATGGGCATCAGTACTCTAACATAAAATCACAGTAACAGTATGTTCATGTCTAACACATTCTGCCAGCTCATACAGAAGGTAAGGAGGCGATATGGAATGATTAAATGACTAAAGTTCTCGTCTTATCTTCCAAGAGTATAAAGTGGATTATTGTCGTGCAGACTAGAAGTTCAAGGACACACAGAAACGTCAAAATGAGCCTGTTGATCCGATTTTGACCGTTTTGAATGAGTCAAAGTTGAGAATCATTAACTAGCAGGGAGGTGGTGTGGTTAGATGCTTATGTAAATTCATCGTGATGGGAAGTTTAGGACTTTAATGAGTTCTTTGAACTTTTTCCAGTGCAATGATTGTGCAGCACAAATCTTTAATGACTTAAAAACCAAACAAATCAAAGAACAAGACTTTGTTTGAATCCATTTAGGATTTCCTCCAATCCACACAGGGTCAAAAGAACACAAATATATACACACACAATAATATTTAATTCAATGTCCATTAACAAACTGCAGCTTGACTGAGTGTGTTTGGTAGCCTGATCGATCCATTCCAACCAGTCCCGATGCGTGTTTGGGATCCTTGATCAGAGGTGGCGTACTAACATGCTACTAGGGTCACAATTTAGTATTTTACCATGCTTATATTAGTAAGGCGTCATAATTACCTTGTTGTTTTGTCTTTTTAAAACTTTGAGCTCTTTAAGTGAAGTGATCTGAAAGAGACACATACAGTGTTTGATTTAATGATGGCTGATCAACAAAATGCTGCTGTCTATTATAGAGATGGCACGATACCACTTTTTTATGTCCGATATCGATACCAATATCATAAATTTGGATATCTGCCGATACCGATATGAATCCGATATAGTGTGTTTTTTAATCAATAAAACGTTTTTTTAATATATTGGTGCATTTTGTATAAGTTTATACTCAAGTTTAAATAAATA